AGCACTACTGCTATGGACCACAAGCGCCTGCAGAGAGTGGTAAAGACTGCGGAGAAGATCACCAGGACTCCACTGCCCTCTCTGCAGAGCATTTACCACTGCAGGGTGCATAGGAAAGCTGCCTCCATCCTCAAAGATCCCACCCACCCCCAGCACAGATTGTTCACTTCTCTGCCCTCTGGCTGGAGGTTCAGAAGTGTGAAATGTAGGACCACTAGACTGAAAAACTCTTTCTTTCCCTCTGCCATCAGACTCCTAAACAGCTGAGGAGTTTATTACCAGGAAATACATGTTGTACTGTTTACATTCTGTTTGCACATGGATAATTGCACATTGACTGTTGACTGCGGCATGTGCTGCTCCCATGCAGCATACATTCTCTATTATATTTTTGTATATATATTTTTTTACTATATTGCTGCATCTGCGCTGCTTAAAGTGCCTTAGATTTTGTGTTATTTATTTATCTACTTTGTATTTCATTTGTATTGTTGTGGCATTCATGTGGACGGCAAAGTAAGAATTTCATTGTACAGGGAAACACGTTTCCTAACTGTGCATATGACAAAATAAACACTTCGAACTTACTTAAAAACAGTAGCTACTTGAATATACTCCCCACTATTTTGAATAAACTAATCACATGACTGCATGAATGGGGCCGATGGGTCCAGTCCAGATGACATATACAGCCTTTTTCATAAATGAGTTGACAAGCTGTTGTCCTGTCGTCACAGTCATACTATTTCCATGTGTTTTGAGCCATCTCTACCAACGGCCATCTGTCCGACAGCCCTCGAAGGCAGCGCGGGAGGGGCTGTGCGTGTGTTTTGACGCCAGAGTGGGCTGGAGCACAGGCGCACTGAACGCACAGAGAGCGGCGCCATGCAGTACCCTCAGACCGATAGCTAGCCAACAAAAATGCCTCCCGAAGACCTCGATAGAGCCCAGAATGTTTGGCCCAGGGCACACGTTGTAATATTATTTCAGTGGTACAAGATGTGAAAAGGGACTGAGTGAGATAAAATGAAGAGGGTTTGAGTCTTACTTTCCCGTTTCGCTTGGTGTAGCGTGGCACAGGCAACGGATCGTTTCCAAAGTTGTCGTTAGCCAGCGTGTGTGAAGGATCCGAAATAAAGGCGCCGTGCACCCGCTGTAGCCGCAAACATGGAGAAACAGCAAAGCGACTTGGACCGAGACCGACAGTACTGTGAACTCTGTGGGAAAATGGAGAATCTCCTTAAGTGTGGTAGGTGCCGGATCTCCTTCTACTGCAGCAAGGAGCACCAGAAGCAGCACTGGAAGAAACACAAGCTCATTTGTAAGGAGGCGGACAAGGCGCAGCTTTCAAAACAGACGCCCGAGCAGGCTCCGCAGTCGGAGGACGACAAGGCACCGGAAGAATATCGAGAAAAGAAAAGCCCCGAGCAAGCGGACAGTGCACCTTTAGCACAAACCACAAACCCAGAACCACATGGCGTTGGAATAAAACCGGGAGAAGATGGGTCCAACAGCACTGCCACACCCAACGGACAGACGAACTCATCCCCGCAGAAACTTGCCACTGAGTACGTAGTCCCGTGCATGAGCAAGCACGGCATCTGTGTGGTGGACAACTTTTTAGGAGCAGAGACTGGACAGGGCATCTTAGATAATGTCAGAGCCCTTCACAAAACGGGCAGGTTCACAGACGGACAGCTGGTCAGTCAAAAAAGCGACTCGACTAAAGACATCCGAGGGGACAAAATCACGTGGGTAGAGGGAAGAGAGGCCGGCTGCGAGAAGATTTGCTTTCTAATGAGTCGCATGGACGACCTGATCAGACATTGTAACGGCAGACTGGGAAGCTACACAATAAACGGAAGGACAAAGGTAAGTTGCAGCAGCTGACTGTAGGGTGTTTTTCATGCCTGACAGCTATTTGTTTACAGTGCTTGTTCCTCGGGAGCCGGAGTCCTGCGGGTCTGCTCACAAAAACAGCAGCAGTGCTCGGGGTCCAAAAAGGAAAATCAACAATAAATAGATGTAAAATGGATGCAAAACAGCCACAAAGACGTACAAAATGAACACAGGGATATGCAAAGCAACCTTACAGACAAAAACAAGTAAACCATGGACAAAAAGAGACACAAACTCTTTTATTTTTTCAGTCTGTCTTGCTCCTATGTGGGGTGGGGGGTGTTTTACATGTTCGGGTACAGCGTTTCATAGTCCATCTGTCTGACAGGGGTGTCACAGTCAGGCTGGTGAAATCCGGTGCTCTCAGACATATTCATTCTGTCATCAAGGCACCATTACTTTAAATATGTTGGTCCTGTTTGCTAATCAGACCCGACTTTAGATGTAAGAGGCTGTTAAGTCCTCTCAGGGTATGTCATAGAGGTTGTGTGTTTCCTCAACGCAAAACCAGTGCTGCTCAGATTGTTATGGTTTTAATGTGACTGTGCACATCACAAATGGCTGCAACACCAGAAGGAACAAGGCCGATGAAGTCAGTTGTAATGAAGCAAACCGGTGCAGCTACAACAAATGCAGTCTAATACAACAGTCCTGCAGTAACTTTCCTTCAGCGTTTGTTAAAACTTATATATTGAGGTGCTGATTCAGCTTTCTGCACCACAGAGGCTACAGTTTTGAGATGGTTCCTCATATTTAGTCTACTCTCACTGGGATAAAACAGTGTGGTGGACAAAATATTACCAACACCGCTCAGTATAATGTAGTATAGTTAGCCAGCAGCACAAAGTACTGCTTCCAAAATCAACAGCTCTCTGCAGTATTTTCAACTAAGTCTGAACAATATAATGTACATGAAAATAGGGTGTTTGCAGGACTGTTGGACTGCAACTCTTGGTTAATTTGTTTGCTCTTTAAAATGTCATAAAACGGAGAAACATGACCGCTGCAATTTCTTAAATCTCACGATGTTTTCAGGTTGCTTGTTTTGTTTTACAGTGGCACAGAATCCCAAGATATTCACTATAGCAAAAGACAGAAAAACTGCAGATTAGGTTTGTCAGTCGACTAATTGATTAATCAATTTATTGTTCCAGCCCTACAGGACAGCTGGTTTAGACTACATTGTAGTTACTATTGGTTTACCTAATAAACTTGTAACTGCAGTGTGCCATACAGCAGGACTATGACACACCACATACTGGATGTTCTCCAGATCATGCATCTCTAATAGACACCTGCTACTGCCATTACATGCACACACACAAAGAAGATATTCTGTCCACGCGTATCAAATTTGTGCATATTGCTTGATGCGTTTATGTTCATTCATAACTAGTAAAATAACAGGATGTGTGTGTAGGAGCTGCACACAGTGGGTTGAACATGACAGGCAGCATGAAGTCCACCTGCACTGTCGAGTCCTCGTCAGGGACGTTGTTCTGTAGCTGACTGCCACCTCTGACCTGTAGAGAGGCGGTACTATCCCACACACGTTCCTGTGTTAAGAGGAAGACCTGTATGTTTCATGTTTGGCACTGTGGGCGAGAGGAAGCTGTGGGCAGAGTCGGCTTCAATCAAATGTTTCTAAGAAATTCCATTTCAGTCTCATTTTCTGACTGATTCTTCTTAGTTGTTTTTTCCCCTTGTTAATCATTTCTGACTTTTCTAACTGCTCTGCACGGTTTGAAAAAAGCAGCTATGTCAGCGCCAAAGCAATGTCAACTTAGCTCCAGCTCGGCCGCCGGGTTGCTTATAACCTCTGACAGATCTGGTCCCCACATGACTTTGTGGCATGAGATTGACCTCTTCCTCTTCTGGGAAATACTCTGAAGTACACTGTCACTGATTCCTTAAATAGAAGTTGGGCGGAAACCATTTTCCTGTTTGAAGTGCAGACCAGTTTATTAGGTACACCCAGATAAAACTGATGTGGCCTCATACAAACGCCCTGCAGTTAACCCTGTCTTCATGAGGGCTGTAGTGATCTGTTTTAGGGTGCTTTCACACCTACAGCGTGTAGTTCGATTGAATCGAACTAGAGTTCGTTTTCCCTCTTGGTGCGGTTCGTTTTGTCTGGTGTGAACACGGTAATCGCACTCGAGTGCGCACCAAAACAACCGCACCGAGACCCCCAAAATGAGGTGGTCTCGATCCGCATCATCTAGCGAACTCTGGTGCGGTCCTCCTGGTGAGAACACATACAGAACCAAAACGGGACCAAAGGCAGTGAATCACACAATTTGAGGGTAATACAAAATAACCAGGGCGAGGCCCAACCCGCGTATGTTGACCTCCATCCTCTCTCGTCACAGAAACGTGGACTTTCTTCCTTTATTTACTTTTTCTGTTCTCGCGGCAGACACATCTGACCAATAAGCGGAGAGAACGTTCTCGCGTAGTTATACGTGACGTGTTTTGGTGCGCTTGGATTTTTCTGTGTGTGAAACGAAACCGAACCAAGGAGACATTGCTACATGTTTACAAACTCATCAACTGATTCGGACCAAAGCAAACGAATTAAGGTGTGAAAGCACCCTTAGAGAAGTTAAATCAACTTTATGGTAATTTTAGAGACTGTAGTTTTGGAGGAATGTGGAATAGTTATTTCATGCGCTGATCTGTGCACTTATTTTTATCTTGTAAAGTTGTGAATTGTTTTTAAATTTGTAGACATCCTGAGCTATGAAGTGCATCTGACCCTGGGTCAGTCAATACAGAAGGTCAGAGAGTTAAAAGTAAACACTTAAAGGATTAGCGTATAAAAAATCTATACTCCTGAACACTAAACAAACCCCACTGTTTGATATTGGTCTCCTTAACTTATCGTGTTCTGCTATCACAGCATGTGGTGTTTAAAAGATCAAGCAATGACAGAACACACATTGAATTGAGCTTGTGGCCTTTGCTTGCTTCAGGTACTTGTTTTTCTGTGCTGGCACAAACCTCGGATTACCATATGCTGTTTTTAGGCTACTCCTGTCCAGTTTTTTTTTTTTTTTTTAACCATGGCCAGTTCTTAGTAAACATGAACTGCTTTCTAGAAAGCACTTTGTCTCAGGCTGCGCTGTTGATCCATGCAGCTGGCCCCTAAGACAAACAGTGTAGAGAACTTGACTTTCTCACCTACTGTCCCAGTTGCCTCAGCAAACACATACCTGGACCATGACCAGTGAAAATCAGCATGACTTGCACAAATGGAAGGCCGCCAGTATCAGTGGCTCAAAGGGATACACCACCATTTGAGCACAATACACACTGGGAAAGACAGAGAACAAAGATTTTGTCCAAATAGAATTTGATATTATTTCTATTTCCTCTTTTCATTGATAACATTGTGGGAATAAGCTCCAGGCAGCGGGACACATTTCTGTTGAATCCTCTCTGATGCCATTACCGGAGACATCATGGGACGTGAAGACGTTTGTAGCAGCAACGCGGTTACCCTGTTACTGACTCACTGTCCCCATCTGAATGTTACTGCAGCATCTCCATCATGTTAAAGCCATAGCTTACTAAGTTGCATTGTAACCATACAGTGAGTGTTCAAGGCCATTTGTACTGTTATGTTGTAGTACATGAAGTAGGACAGCTCTGTCCTGCATGGCATTCTGTAGCTCAGTGTAGAATGCAGTACCAGGTGTATAGTAGATAACCTGTTGTTTGGTCTGGACTCCTAACAATATAATATAGTCCAATACTGTAGTGAGAGGGTCTCTTTATTTTATGCACCTGTAAGTTGAGCCAACATACAGTAAACCCAGTCTAATATAACAACTTTACACACGTTTAAATCACAGCAGTGTCACTGTCTGAAGCATGACTGTCCAGTGTGAAGAACAAAAACACATCATAGAAGGCTAGGTTCCCAGATAATAAAATGTTTCACCACATGTACTGATATGTTGCCATATCTTTTTATAGGTGAGAAAGGTGATAAATAATAATTTGTTAGCAGAGCCACTCTTCTCCACCCCAATAAGAAAAACTAGAGAAACTTAATCTGCAGCTGCACTGGCTATAGTATGACTGTATTGCATCCAATACTGTTAAGTTTCCATTACAGAGCAAAAATGTCAGACGTTCCCTGGATTTCCTGGTTTTCTTATGTGATAGTAAAGTCAGTGGTTTGTGACATTACCCAAAGGATCGGTTGATTACTTGAGTAAACAGTCAACTGATGAATCAATAACGGAAGTAACAGTGTAGTAGATCCCCAAATACAACAGAGGGCTGGAGAAAATGAGTGAATGTCATTTTATGTTGCACTAGCAAGATGTAGGGAGAAAAAGTGAAAATTGAATTGTGAAGTTTACACTGATTAGTCACTTGTCACAAAAAATCTAATTTGCCACATTGCACACTGTGACCTAACTGCTGGTATGACAAAATCCCTGTTGTCTAGGGATATATGGTTTGCAACTGATGTTTCATATTTTTTGTTGAGTCATTTGCAGTGTCACAGAGCATCTGTGCACGTGTGCTTTCAAAAAGAATTTACCAATTGACTTAAATCTTAAGGCTCTATAGACTAAGCAAGCTGAGAGGAAGTAGCATGGTGGTTCTCTGAGCGTTGGTGCCAGCTGTACATTATGCTGTAAACAGCATGAGCCATTCACTACTTCCGTCGATAGTACCAGCATGCCTGAAGCAACACATTGCATGCCACCCTTTCCTGTTTATTGTTTCACCATCATACAGTAAAGGGGGAAAAAATTGTGGAGGTGGTCAGAGCACAGGCTCACCAAACATCCATGGTCCAGTATGAGCTGACCTGCAGCTAGTGGTCTCCTAAAACCCCTCTAATCCATCTGTGGCGTTCTAATGATGTGTATAATACCACTGTTATTGTAGTCTAAAGCTGTACATGTGTGACATGTTAGAGAGATCAGCATAGACCATAGTTGGATGTGACA